GTGTGTGTGTGTGTGTGTTATAGCTGGCCCCCCGAGATTGTGTCTCAGTGAACGTCTGAGGACCGTGACCTTGAGGAGATGTAGGGAAAGAAAAACAGATAAAGAGAGAGAAACACACAGGGGGGCACTGAAGGTGAAAGAGGACAAAACAGATAAGTGAAGGAGAGAAAGTGAAGCAAAATGAAAAGGGGGGGGGGGTAGACTGAAGAGAAGACTATTATACTTCCCCATAAAGCCAACTTCCAGGCTCTTAACTAACAATGAAAATAATATTATTTCATAGCAAACCACAATTTGTTTCAACTGATTTCACCATTGAACTAGTAACCACAATATCCCAAAACTACCTTAAAAAATGCAATTTTGAGAGTTGTTAAGTGAGAAACCCGACAAATTCTTAACTAATTGGGCCTTCTTTTAAGTTTGGCAAATGTTGTACATTAAGTTATTTATTTATTTGTGTAAAAAAACATTGTGTCTGTTTGTCTCAGTGTGGTTGGCCAGATCCTGACAGGAGAGACGCTCTGGTGGTGCGAGCAGGACAAACACTTCCACTTTCTGTGGTGTTAATGCCTTTCTTCATCACCTGTGATGTGAACCTGAAAAAGTTCTGCTTGTATTGCTCAGTCATAAAATCCTACAGCCACCGCAGAGCATCTCTCCTGCAGGGCTGCTGACAACGCGTTAAACATGTGACTCAGGCTGACGGCGCTGAACTGGGGGAAAAAAGAGGAACGAATAGTCAAATCTTCATATTCAACAACCGACTGGACATAATGGACACTGACTGACAAAATCCTGAGTGGGTTAAAGTGTTTATTTGCATATAGAGCAGAGAAGTGAGATCCGATCACAAGTGCTCACTTAAAGCCAGGTGTTAACAGGGCCTAAGGAACCTACACTGCAACGCCCACAAAAAAATTTAGGTCTGAGAGTCCAAAGGCCGACCGACATGTGGAAGTGTGGCTGTGCATGATGATGTTGATTTAGTAAGTGTGAGAACATAGTTGAGTTTGGAAAATAGGCTTTCCTTTTGCTGTGAGAGATGAGATGATCAACAGCACTTATATGTCTGTATGCTAAATACAAAGCTACAAGAATAAACTGGTTATCTTACTTAGTACAACTGAACAGGGGCAAACAGCAAGCCTGGCTCTGTTCATAGGAAACAAAATCCACCTCCCACTGAACCTTAATGTGTCACTTTACACTTTGGTAACAAACGAGACATAAGGTTATTAGTCACCTTTACAGGTCCTGGTAGGTGGTTTTTGATACCTGTGGACAGAGCCAGGCTGCCCCCCGCACCCCCCCTCCAGACTTTGCGCTAAGCTAAGCTAAGCTAACTGCCTGTTGGCAATCCTCTAATCACAACTGAGGTTAAGGGAAGGTGAGAAAACAAAGGTAATATTGCCCTAAACGGCTCCACTTAACTCTGTGATCAACACATTTCAGAATGACTCTGATGTTTTGTGGCCTAATGTCAGCAAGACAGAAGGAGTAGCGGAAAAGAGAAGAAAAAAAGTGGAAAGGCACAGAGCAGGGTTATCCTCTCCACTGCCAAATGTGTTAATGAGTGGGCCTACTGGTCAGCCACACACACACACACACACACACACACACGTCTGGACCTGCAGTGTGCCAGACCGGATGGTACTCTAAGTGTGCCTGCCAACTGCTAACAGCTCTCCCAGAGAGGCCCTCACTCAGACACACACAGACGCACAGTGTACACACACACACACACACACACACACATACATACACATTCACAAGCATACCATACAGACACATTCAAACACATGCAGGCACACATTTGCAAATGCTTCCACATAAAAAAAACAAATAAGGCTAAAGGTACAAGTGCACACACACACACACACACCTCAAATTTCTGCCGTAGCTCCTCGTTGCCCTCCTCCCCCTCCGGAGCAACAGGAACATTGAAGTACTCGCCTTCTTCCTGGGAGAGCAGCTTAAACCTGAAGAGAGAGAATATTTCCAGTCAAATCAATTCCCAATTAGTTTATACAATTTAAGTGTTTAACTGCTGCCATTAGCTGAAGTTGCTGACAGTTAGCGCACCGATTTAAAGTCCCAAAGAATAATCGGCTGATTATTTAGTAATTCACTCTCCTTCATGGTGATCTAGCAAAGCCTGACAGAGATGGGCCCAAAACGCAGTTGAGATGCTTATCATTTCACAAAATCAATGGATATAATTTTTCATATTGGCCTCATTACAAATGATGCCGCAACCTCACAGCATCACCACCATATTCATAGTAAATAACATTCAGATTTCATCTTCTCAGAAAATGTGGCTCCTGCTGTTGAGGCCATTTCTAATTGGCAAGATTCCTGTTGTATTCTTTTCAGTGACTTGATTGCTGTCACAAACACACAACAACAGTTTGAAATAGATTTATTCTGCTGCTGTTGACAATTTACCAACCTGAGAAGGAGCTTAAGATCCTGAATCAATCAGACATTTTGACTTGAGTGTTCATGTATGTTACTAGCTACACAACAAGCACTGTAACTAACATGAATCCTTTAAATACGTGAATGCACCAAAGTGCTGTGTCTAACTTGACACCAGCAGTTTGGGCCTTTGTTAAAATTTAGAGGAAAGCATCCAGCAATTTATATTTGTCCAAGGACTATGACTTTGTTGTGTTATTATTTAAGAAATTTCCTCTCTTTAGACATTGTATCAGATCTGTACCAAGAGGTTATAGCTCATATCCCTAGCTTATTGTAGTTCAAATATTATCAATATTATTATTATTTTTTTGCAATTAGTGTTTTTAGGTGATAAAACTGGCACATTCTCTGGAAAAAAATTTGAACAGAGGGGAACCTGTGTAACATTTTTCCATCTTAGGGCTCTATTTTCATAATTTACTCGACAGCCTCGCCTGGGTCACTTGGATATAGGCGGGATCTGAAAGTATACGTTAAACATACAGGTGGGTTTGTCAGAGGCCAATCACATTCTGACATTAAACAGCTCTCTCCACCATTAAACACTGATAGTTTGGGAATCCTGCGTTTTCCCTAGATTGTGTGCAGGGTAGCATTAATATGAATATAACAGCACAAATATACTTCAAAGAGCAGTAAGTTTATAATCTATTGTTACGGTAAACGTATTGATTATAGCCACTTTACAGATGACTGTGAATGTTGGTTCAGAAGCCTTTGCACTGTGGAAACATCTAAAAGGAATGAAAGGCGATCAAACACTGCAAACAGATTGTAGTTCTTCTTTTAGACAGGTGATTTTTCAGCCAACAACTCAACCTTCAGCTGGCTGTTTAGATGAATGACTTGTAATAAATACTGAGCCCTATGACTGATCTCAGTTAGCTTACTACATAAATTAACATTATATGAAATTAACAACAGAACTAAAGTACCCTGTCAGTCAAGGACATTTTTGTGAAGCTGGACAGCCATTTACACACGTCAGTAAAGTAAGATTATGTCACAAGCTCAACTCTTTTACATTATTTCCTCCCATAGAGGGCCATAACATACAGAAAGGAAGGAGTTTAGCTTTAAACCTCAGCAGTCATGTTCATGTCACTCTCACTCTGTTCCTCCTCCTGGCTGCTGGTGCCAGCAGGTGTGAGGCTTTGGAGCTGCACATAGAAAACACACACATACACAGGTTCTCTCTGCTCTGAATATCAGCCCTTTAATGGCATCTCTCTCGCACCTCCACCATTCTACCTCAAAAGCTGGCATCTCATTAAAAACCCTGACAGAGCAGCGTCAGCAAAAAGAGAGGAAGATAGAGAGATACAGAGACTGAGCTAGAGAGACGGAGAGAGAGGGAGGGAGGGTGGTGGAGAGATAAAGAAGAAGAGATAAAGAGACAGGGTAGAGATGCTTTGGCACAGAGTATCACCAGAATAAAAAAGAGAAGCTCCAACTAAAGTATTTCTCCAACAGTGCAGTAATGAACAAGGTCACCTTCACTCTCCCTCCTCCTCTACCTGTGCTGTTTCTCGGCCTCACGTCTCTCCACCCCCTCCTTCCATTCATCCATCCATCCATCCCTGCTTTCATCTCACCATCCATCAACTCCTTGCTTCTGGAGCTCCGAGATGCCGAAGGACAGCGATCCCATGAAGTCATTGCGGCTAGTCAGGTCCCAGTCCCACACCTCCACCGACAGACGGCGGTCCTTATCATACTCCTTCAGGTGGCTGCGAGTGAAACAAGGACAGTCAACAGTTGGATGTTGGCTGACAGTGAGGCCTCTGGGTGTTGTTTTCATAGTTTGAACATTTCCTGTTAACTTTTTAACTTTTAAGCCACATGTCAGCATCCTTGGATTAATCATTTCCAAATATAAGAAACAAAGCCTCCCATCTAGCCTGTGTTACATTCAGGGTGCATTCAGACCCCATATTTGAAGCAGTTTATTAAAACTCTGTTATAGGAAAGGTGCAAAAAAAGCCTTTCAAACTGAACATCTGCACCCTGCAAATCTTCTTCCAAACAAACCGTGATGCAGCTTATTAAGAATGTAATTGGAGCCAACTGCAGGAAACAAGCCCAAAAGGAAGGTTTTCTGAATAGAAGGAGCCAGATGTTTCTATCTGAGCACCAGCGGTTACACGTGTGGAAAGCCGAGCATAATGTGATCCTCTTAAAAACACTGTACTGAATGAGAGAGAGAGATGAAAGAGAAGAAACGAAGATAAAATGGGCAAAGACTTAACAAAGTAGAAGAGGTAAAGAGGAAGACAGATAGAAAGATAAATAACACAAGAGACCACCAAACATGGTGTATTGAAGTCTTACAATTTAAAGGTCTCATTCCAGGTGGGGTTGAGGTTGCACTTTATGGTCTTGGTCTTCTGTTTACTCTCACTGCGGGGATCTGGGATCAGTTTAAGCTTCACGTAGGGGTCTGATAGACCGTTGGGGTCCATAGGGACCAGATTTCTGCCCTCTTTGACTGTCGGGGAGGAAGAAAGAAAGAGGGGAATGAGATGGGAAAAAAGAGGGAGACGATGAAACCGGGATAAAAAAGAAAGAGAGATGAAGTCATTTTGATTTCAAATAAGCATCAGTAACAATTGCAGTCTGAAATTAAAATTGATTTTTTCTAGCAAACCAAATCATGACTTACTATTCAAAAATGTCCATTAGGAAAAATAAAAGACACAATATTATAAAATCTATAACATTTAACTGGTATCCATTTTCTGAGACAAACAGAGACACACTGGAATACAGTACAGAGAGAATCATGAATTGGTTTACCTTAAAATATTATGTAATATTAATCACTTAAGTAAATCAAACTAAAGGCCAACATCAAAGAAATTCAATTAATAATAATGTAAGACATTTCTTCACATTTACTGTACATATTTTAACTACAATTTGGTTACTTTATCAATCATCATCACCTGGACAACAACAACTATTGGAGAAGCTGGTATGGACTCTCTGCTCCACTTGGTGAGCCATTTCCACGCTTGTATTCATACTCCACGCTTGGTGAGTATATTCAAACACACCTTCATTATACTTGGCCACATGACCTGGAGCAATTGTGCCAGTGTCTTAGGATTTTATTCAGAACCTGGCAGTAACAGTAAAAAACAGTTCATTCATTTGAACCCATATTAGGTTGGCAGCTTAATTTCAAGTCTTGTGTGTATGTGTGTGACCTGAATTTGGGGAGAACTTTCCTGTCAGTAATCTACTTAACAACAAAACTCTCCCCTGACACCAACAAATTTAATTAGGC